GTGTTTTTTTTTTATTATAATGTGTTATGGCAAAGAAGTCAATATCGTTCCTACATTTCTTTTGAAAAAGTTACCAATGTCATACTTATACGTAGAAATACATATCATAGTACATTGTTACTGTGTAATCGTTTTGATCTCGAGGAGAGATGATATGATGCATGAGATACTTATGACTTATAGTTACTTGCTCCTCTACGACGCACTCGCCATACGCCAATGTTGCATGTACCAAGGCATGCCACTAATTATGCTAGTAATTGTGTACTTACTCGCATTGCGCGAACCTACAACAGAAACTTCTCTCAGGTTGATATGTTTAACTGCACAAAACCTAGTTTTAAAGCCCGAGTTAAAAGGCTTATAATTGATATAGACAAGCAGCCGGTAACTTTGTTCCATTCACCATAAAGTATTAACTATGTTAATTCATATTTTAATTAATTTCTTTTTATAACAAGTAGTATATTTAACTTTCAATTCTATGTATAGTAAGACTTTATTTTTTAATATTGTTTAAAGTCCGTTCGCATGGTAAACACAAATTAAGTTAAGCAGGGAAACCTATTATTAGCCTTACTAAACTGTAATATCTTTATTTGTATTATACCACATGTATCGCTGTTGGTTTTCTAAATAAATAATAAATAAAAGTTAAAATAAATAATAATCTTATCATAAATTCATATTAGTTCTCGCCAAATAACAAAAAACTAGATATTTTCATCAACAGACAGATAAAGTTCAAAGATACCAATGCAATCTAATTTAGTATCTATGATTAAATACATTCGTACATAGAAAAAAGACCGATGCAATTATTGTTTTGTATCAATTGTAACCCATTAAATGAAGAATACTATTTTGTTATTACTAAGAACATTCATATATAGACAAGTTGGTAAAAAATATAAAAGACCATCGCTATTGTAAATATACATTTATGACTCATTCAATGTATGAACCTTTTTAAGTAAGTATTATCTACATATGTGCACACAAAGAAACACAATTATTGTTTTGTACGACGCAATTATTGTTTTGTAACCCATTTAAAACGACTGTTTTGTTAAAAATGCCAATTAATTCTCTTAGCCTATTACCAGGAAAACGATAAGAACACAATGACGCATTTCACCACTAATGTGAAACGCAGTCCACGTGGACTAATGCAAAATAGCCAATACTAGGCCAAACTCCGCCCCCAAAGGTGTGCGGTCCCGCTCTAGAACCTTTCGGCCCCATCGGCCATCTGTTCTACGAGCAATGTGCCGTGCCCACTGTCACTTAAGTTTGGCATTTCTTCGGGCTATGTCGGTGACGCTGGTTCTTCTGCGGATTTCTTCATTTCTGATTCGAACATGCACGCAAACTATGAGCATAGCCCTTTCCATTGCTCTTGACAGCTCTAATAAGCTTACACAATACTAGGCCCCATGCCAACCTTCCAGCTTCATCATCACATCAGTTCAATAGTACCTTACAGCCAAAGTGCATCTTATAACAATTCTAACAAGCCCAAACACGGCTAGGATATATTAATTAGGTACGCAGTTCCAGTGCCTACCTTCCAGCTCCATAATCATCATTAAATCAGTTCGATGATAACATTTCCAACATAATTATTTAAGATCATTGGTTTACAGTGCATTTTCATAGTTGCTGAACTACCTTGATTGTGATATCTATGCGAGTGTCAAGTTTCATCATCCATCTGATTCTTCTTCACCAGTTCCACCTCATCAAACATTACTTTTTGACTGTAAATGCTTGAGTGCTCTATGAAAATATTAAAATTACTATATAGTTGCCTATAATATTTGAGGAGTTCCCTCGATTTCTCATGGATCCCATCATCAAAACTTGATTTTGAAAAGAATGGGACCAATCTGGAAGCATATCCTTTCAATCATAAAAAAAATTTTGCAAATCCGTCCATAAACGACGGAGTTCTGAGGTAACAAACATAAAAAAAAAAAATAAAAAAAAAAAAAAAAAAAAAATACAATCGAATTGAGAACCTCCTCCTTTTTTTGAAGTCGGTTAAAAATGACGTAAAACGACCACACCGCTGTATTTCGCCGTACGCGAGTGAAGCCCGGTACTTCCACTCCCCAATACTTGAATCTCCAAAACCCAATCTACTGCTAGAATATTAATCTGCTCATCGTATATTTTATAAATTTCTTCTGCGTAACTAATAACAATTGAAACTGATGATGTGGGTATATACTAACTTTATCGGATTAGATAATAGGACTAAGTTTAACAAACAGAAATATAACAATAAATAAACGATTGCACTGATTCAGGCATTACTTGCATTGAAGGGAAGTCAATATGACTGTGTCATTGGTACAAGTTGTATTGACTTCCCCTTTAGACGCGGAGACTAGAATGAAACCAATTCCGACCGAATGGATGTCAGTGGCCAGTACGTTGTGAGTAACCCAAATCTATGAATACTGGGATGCATACCCTTCGTTAAAATGCGTCGGCTGCGACACACATGACGGAACACAATGCGGGCTTATAAAACACTTGGCACTTGAATAGGAGTATTTAGTGCAATAATTAGATTATTTAGAATCCGATGACAATTTATTCATTAGAAGTTGATTACAGTCATAAGTTGTAAGTACTATCAAAGAAAATGAAGTACAATTTCCTATACAGGTAAGTATTTCTCATCAAATCACAAATTTTGATAATTGGATGGACCTTTTTATCAATATCTCAATAAATTTGTCAAATATTGTTACCAAAGGACAAACCTTTGTTTTCCGTGTAAACAGGCTACGAATAACGTATTCGTTGTTATTTGACAGACTTTTAGTTTCGAGGAAATACAATCAATCGAACAAGAGGGTAACCAATCGAACTTCTCTGTTACTACACAGGCAACAAAAGCGAACGCACTGCAGGTAACACAAGAGCTAACAATGTTGCTTTCAGACTTACCCTAACATATATTTTGTTTTTTTTTTTTGTACCATTGTAACATTTTCATTTCTGCAGCAAAAATATACTCAAAGAAGTACTTACAACGTTATTCTACCCTACATGAGTCTGTTATGGACATCTAAAGTAACAGTGTACCAATTTTTTTTTATGTCTAAGTTCGGCAAACCAGCTGACGGATTACCTGATAGTAAGCAATCAGCGCCACCCATGACACACCACCAATCACACCCATGACACACCACCAATCACACCCATGACACACCACCAATCACACCCATGACACACCACCAATCACACCCGCAACAGAGGAGTTACGAGTGCGTTGCCGACCTTTTAGGGATTAGGGTTTTGGAGATTTAGCGATTAGAAGGGATCGGGGGAGGGAAAGGATTCGGCCTCCGGTAACATCACTCACTCGGCGAAACACAACGCTGTGTTGTTTTATCGTATCCTTCAAGCCACACAACGTCCTTGTTCTCTGATTACTATGCAATAAAAACTCCAAGCAATTTTCCTTTATCTTAAATCAGAGAGAAATGTAAAGTTATCTTATTTTTTATTACAATCAATGGAATGGTACGATGCTATAAAATGGCCAGTGAGGCCAACTTTCGCATAATAATATTGTTATTTATCATAACGATCACGTTTTTACTAAAGCGTCATTCAAAAAATGCAAACGAATATAACAAACAATTAATAAACAATAAACCATAGACCCAGTGTATTCTACGTATTAACTTAAAATTGTATTTTGTACTAGCATACGTACTCATAGCTCATTAGTCATTATTCGTGATATCTGTACAGAATTCACGTCACTAATATTCTTGTTAGCCCCTCCAACCAAGCTATTCGCGCAGAGCGCTAGGAGTGGGCTCAGCACAATGGCACAACTAGGTCAATACTTAAACCGTTGTTTGACTATTGTCGCATATTTGTGTGGAACATACTCTACAAATTGTGGCCAATAGTAGATTCCAATTCGTAAAATCAACCACCAACTTTAAAATATCTCGATTAAAACGGGTGAAAGTAATGATTTCGCATATTTTACTGTGACATTTTTATAAAGAAAATAAAATAATACAACAGCAGACGTAAAATATAATAAAGACGTCGCGTCGTAGTAATTAGTGTTCATGCAAGTGCGTCATACATTCCAGCCTTTCCTTTTTCTTCCCAGCACTGCAGTGAGTTGTTATCAAACAGGCGGCAAGGAACAAATTATCAATCCAACTTACTCATCGTCTGTGTGACACATGCGTAAGCGCATGACTACTTTTTAAATCTTTTTCCACCATCTCGAGAGACGATGAGTACGAACCACTAGGTCATATCATAAGATAGTCGAGAAATAACAAAATACTGGACGCTAAACAACCAGTTTATCTAGCTATATCGTGTTACAATAATTTTCCCGTTATAAAACCTTTTTGTAATATTGAGAAGAGATTTTGATTCATAATTAAATATTGATATTACAGCTACTCTGTATGACGTTACGATCAGACTCCCTTCTAGACTCTAAGGCTCAAATCGTTCCAAACATATCAAAGGCAATAGTGAACGGACTAATGTTCAACACGCAGGTACAAGATGTTTACATAATGACTAAATGAATACTTTCGCGTTGAACACACAATTAAGATGGTAACAAGTCGAGTCATACCGAGTTCAAAGACTACCATCTGTAGGCTTTGCTTTATATAGATAGAATAACTATGACTAGTTAGTGTAACACTATATGTACCAGTAATGATATCATGTGGTCCTATAAATACAAGTCCTCCCTGACTCAACAGTCTCTCGGACCTTGACTCACAGATTACTAACCACTTTAGTACTGTCTACCTCATATACTCAACTCTAGGAAATGCAAATATTATGGAAACCTCATTAAAATAAAGCTAACAAATGCTTTGCAACAGTTAATATCAAATTCGCGCAGCTGCAAATAAATTAGGTAACTACATCGACAACACAATGTCATTTCACAATTTTTATGATATGTGATTTTTATAAAGTTGACTTACCTTCAAGTAGCACCAACCACACCTGGTGAATTCTGATGTGTACTTAGTTGCGAACCCACAGGTCAGGTGCTCGGCGATCTTTTGTGCCCAGTTGCGACGCTCCGAAGCACTCGCACAGCTGAACAGTATTTTGCGAGGAGAACTTCTCATGCCCCCGGAGGACACCATTATCTCAAAGCAGTATGAATTGCTTGTTGTACTAAAAGAAAAAAGGTGTTTACTTAATAGTGATTAATTTTTCAAGTTACTACCTACTTAACATAATTTCGGTACACATATCATGTGCAGACTTCCTTTTAGAGTTTTGCATAATTATTGGTACTTTAGGTTTATATTGTTTTTAAATTAAGTATTGTAACATATGTCATATCATAAGTAATACTCATATTAATGAAAAGTTATTCGACTCACCCCAGGTACTATTGGGATGTTAATTTTTTTCTAGGGATAACCATGTAAGCCCACTAACATAAAATTTTTAAATTGGTTTGAATATGTATAATAAAAAACAACCTTACATCCTGATCACATATTTTAAAGTTGAATTCACATCAAATAATGCTAATTATGTTTAAAATATATATAAAAAATATAACTTATAACTTAGCTAATTTCAAATTATTCACATTCATCATTCTGGCAAATGAGTACTACTAGATAGAATCATAAAGATTATAGTAAGATAATAACAATATTGGTTGTGTAACTGTGTCTCCATTTAAACAAATAAAAAGCTTTGTTGTGGCAAATAGGAAACTAAGAAAATTCTGTAATCACTGACTTACCTAGAGGAGAGAGGTAACACAATCTGTACTGAGTAGATATTGTCCAATGTATAGGCTTCTTTCAATATGGAGTTGGTAGGGTCTGAGTAACACATTAACTTCTGATCGGAAAGCACACAAAATCTTGTCTGTGAGTTTTTAAATAAATCTTCAACTACTCCTGACACAATCCGTGTCAATAACCCACTGAAGTATGGTACTGGTAATGAGTTGACTGGTGGCCTTTCCACACATTCTACCTTCTGTGGTACTGGTTTTGATGACCTATTTAATTTTTCAAATTTCAACATATGAGAAAACTTTTGCATAACTGAATTTGTTGACTTATTTTCATCTTCTGACACAGATTTTGCATCACTACTGTCTGAACTAACAAACCAGTTAGAATTTCTATCTTTATCCACAACATTTAGTTTTGCTGGTTTTGTATCAGGAAGAAGACTGTCTGAACGTTCTGGTGGAGTTGGTGGATTAAAATATTCACTTTCACAAAATTCAAAACTGTCCTCAGTGGTATCTGAAGCCACTATTGTACCATAAGTATCACCAATTAAGAAGGATTCCAACAGTAACAACTCATTGCTTACACCGTCATACCTCTGTAGTGAAGTACTTGTTTGTAAGGGATCAAACTCATATATTGTACTTTTACTTGGCCGGGGCAGCTCTGTATCACTAGGCACTACTTCTTTATTAGGGACTAAACTTTTAGATGTTTGGAATGGCAAGGTCCAATTTTCATACATAGAGTTTTGTCTCATTACTTCCATAGATACCACACTTTCCCTTTTCTTTCTTCTTTCTGGAACCTCTGGACTTGACCCAATAGATGTAGAACTCAGAGAACTAACTATGCTGTTAGTTCTTGAGGGTTTTGGTATATCATAAGTCATTTGTTCACCTTCCAGAGTTAAACTAGAGGCATTATGCTCTAATTCTCTACTCATGTCATAAGAATAACTGCTAACTGAATCTGTATTGTCTGAATTACTAGAGAAAAGAGACAAATCATCAAAATTGGATGCATTCAAATGTAAATTAGGGTGTTCCTGGTTTTTCTGAGCACCAAGCCCATCATTGTTAAATCTCTTTTGTTCCAGAAGCGGGGAATTGAATTGTATGTTGTCAAATAAACCAACATCAACAGCTGGCATTGAGACACATCTTTGTGGGTCATTTTCATCAAGACTGTCTGGTTTCTTTGTCCTCCTTAACCTAAGCCCCGCTGTCCTAGTTCCTTCTATCACTGACTTAGTTACAGACTGACGCACAGCTCGAGAAGTTGTTAGAGTTTTTTCCAATGTATCTTTAGCAAATTTTGAGCCATCTTGAATGGACCTTTCTAACTTTTCATTGGCAGTCTTGGCAGAATTACTTACTTTCAGTGCCACATCCTCCGATAGTTGCTTTGAAACAGTACTTATTGATTTAAATATGTCAGAAGCAGTGACCCTTTCAGAGGGCTGGGGCAACTTGGTGCGTGGAACAGGTACTGGCCGAGTTACAGGCTCGCATGGAGGCAAAAACGCACTCCTTGGCTTTGGTACCGGCGGCGAATCCATCACTTTGATTTAACACGAGGCAGCTATCACTAAAACTATTTTAAAACAGGAGATAACATTGTTAAAGCGCTTTATACGTAACACAAACAAAAACTATGTAGAATGACTCACTAAGAAACAAATTACACACATCACTGTGACCCGAATAATTAATTTGAGTGACAAACATTCGTCTACAACCACAATCACGCAAGAAGACGCTATCAGGAACTGTTTTAATCGACGCGGCGACGTCACGTACAACGGATAAATATGTGCATGAATTAAACACTACGATTTTGTTTTCAAAATCATCTGCGCTCACACACAGCGCAAGCGATTGTGAGTTTTGTGACAGTGTTACCAGCTGTGAAAATAATAAAGGCATGCAATATCGTTTCGAAATTGAGATAAAAGTATGTCACGTAATAGAGAAATTGTAAAATTAGAAACAATAAGTAATTAAAATTATCGTATTAGAAACAATAAATAATTACCTCTGCGAGTTGGCTTCGGCCCCTCATACGCCTTCCGGGACCCTGTGGTCCCGTGAATGGAATACTTATGAAAGAACATTTCATGTGTAAATTAAGTTTAAGAATAATGTTCATTATTCTAATTTTAACAATGTAAACAGAATTTTAGATTACAAATATTGATCAAAGTGATAAAAGCACTTACAAACATAACAACATTGTTTCAGAACTTTTGCAGGCATCAAGTTGCACCGTATAATATTGCTCAAACGTTTTAATTAGGAGTTAAAGTTAACGTATTTGTAACAATATTGCGGTTTCGTTCTTGAATAAAATTATCTTTTCTAAGTACAATAAATCTGTGCTTCTATTATCATTTGGCTGCCTTCAGCTTCCTCTTACGTTGGTCAAGAGAATGGATGGGACATTGTACGATCTTAAAACTTAAAGCGCCTAGTGACACGCCCGCAAGCCCCGGCTAAGCCCGGCTTCGCACGTGTGCAATACTGATACTAAACTTCTATATTATTACGGTAGTTTCCAACTAGTCAAATTCAATACTTTTATCCAAATGTCAAAAACGATACTTTTCTATGAAATTTGTATGAAAAACTGAGCTATGACGTCATAGTATTTTTGCGTCAAATAGCTTACTTATTTCTTAATAATAATCAAAGAAATATTTAAAACTTAGTGTATCGATCGATCGATGAATAAAAGTATAGTTATTTTTCAATATTTTATTGTATTGAAACGTCAAATTAATTTATTTTTGACCTAGGAAACTACCCAATTATGTTATATAAGGTTTGGGATTATTTCTCACCCTGTACCTGTTTTTCATTTTTTTTAATAATATTTCTTATTAGTAAAATAAGCTAGGTATAGAATTGTAAACACAAAAAAAAATTGGCGGGAAAATTGAATTTATGGTTGTCAGCAGCAGCTAGCAACACGGGAACAAAAAGGCGGGAATTCGGTTGGAGCTCACGGAACCGTAGGGTTGTGATAGGTAGCGATATTTTAAAATAAATAAATATTGATTGTTTTCCGGAGGTCTTGGCGTTTTCTTTGGAGTGGAGTCTTTTAATTAGTAGGTAAGTTATACATGTTGTTAGTAGTTATACATGTAAAATTATAAACCTACCTCTTCAAGTAGGTCTCTGTTCAATATCCGTTACATAGTTTTATAGATTTAAGCGTAAGGCAAACCTAGAGAGACAGGAAAAGCGACTTTGTTTTATTTTACTACCTATTTAATGATGTCAGAGTTCGGTAAATAATTGAGCGACTATTGGTTGGGTAATTTTTGTGTATTGGCAGATCATATCTTTTTTTTGATGTCGTAGGTACGTCGCCAAGCGAGCAAACGGATTACCTGATGGTAAACGATCAGCGTCGCCCATGGACACTCGTAATACCAAACGAGTTACCTACTACAAGTGCGTTGCCGACCTCTTTTAGGTTACATAGGATTAAAGGATAGGGGTTTTAAGCATGGAAGGTTCTGCCCCCTCGCCTCCCCAAAAGGATTTGGGCCCCGGTAACCTCAATTACACGGCGAAAAACAACGTAAGTGTTCTTTTCTCGCCGCTTTCCTGTGAGGCCGTGGTATCACTCCGGTCAAACCGGCACAGTAGTGCCGAAGCATGGCTCTCCTACACTTAAAAACTTATTATTCTCACAATTTTATGTTCTATATACTAACTTTTTTTATTATAACTTGAGTGAGACATGCCAAATTAATTATTGTTTTCGGTTTACTCACGTAATTATTTGACGAGGAACTCGACTAGTTCTCATATTCATGGGCAGAGTCGCGTCTCAAAACATGATAATAATTTATATACTCACTTAAATGGTAATTATTTATTATTAATAAAGGTACGTTTAGGTCTAAACTAGCCACTCTCGCACGGTTTCATCCGATGCTCTGGTCCTACAGATCGTAGCGTAATGTTTTCTAGGCACGTATAATTTTATAATTAAATTTCTATAGATATTTTATTGTTGTTGCTACTATAGGTATTTCGAATATCCATCCAAAATATGAAAGTTTGTGAGAACGTACCTATGTTATTCATTCACTAATAAACGGCTGGACCAATTTGGTTGAAGGCTTGGCACTCCGATAGGTGATCCTCTGCGGTAGATAACATAGAGGCTCCTTTTTATCAACATACCACGCGGGCGAAGCTGCGGGCGGAAGCTACTACATTAGGTATAAATTGAGCACTGGGATGTCGCTAACTCACCTCTCAGTATGAAATGAGTAGAATCAAATCAATATATGGGCCACCTACTTAATTTTGTATTAAGTGAAAAAAAATCCTGGTGTCTTATGTTTTGAATACTAGAAGGCGGACCTATAAATCATTGTTGGACTGACGTATTTCTTTCGAGCTATGTTTTTATTTTTCGATAGATATTTAATTACAAATGCTGCTATGTACCTATTTGAAATTGTATTTTATTTTATACCAATTTTGTTAATGGCTCCAAGTTAGCTAAAGCTAATTCTAAACTTGCCTCTGCATCAAAATATCGATTATAGCCACAACGCTACAAAATGAAGAGTCAGACAGCATATCAAATGCACCCCTTGTAAATTAGTCTGGTAGTGCCCTAAGTAAAATAATAACCAATGTGCAATGCAATTATTTTTATCCGACTTCAAAACAGAAGCGGTTCTTGATTTGACTATAATGTAATCCGTTAATATATTTACATAATATATGTAGTTATGTACTTTTGCTTGTTACAACTAAAAATATATGTCTATAGATACCTAGGAAATATTATGAAAAAATATATTTCCGTCGAAAAGATATGAACGACTACTAAAATTGTTTACGTATTTTTGTATATAGGAATCATAATTTTTAAAAAGTATAAATAATATCGCCAATTGAAGATCAGTCAGACGGTTTGGTCATGAACAGTCCAGGTTTACCTCTTATATTGACAAAGTACTAAAAATAATTGCAACGTGACCATTACCACCTAGACAGAGATTACTCTACTGTTTTCAGATCGTTTCCTCGTTTCTTATTATTTACTCCTTTTAATTACTGCGTACTCTTAGTTCGCAATGTTTCTTGCATTTTAATTCAAAATTTAATTGTGCACTTTTTTGAAGAGCCTATGTTGTTAGTTGGTACCTATTTATAAAACAGCAGCACGAATTTTAATTTACACATCTCAGCATTACACAACACTACAAAGTATTAAGAGTTTAATATTCCTGTTTGTATCTGTAAAATTGATCCTCCATCGCCCCTTTTCTCTCTCTCCCTTATCGCCCACTATAAAATGATGTCCAGTGGCTTTTACGTATAATATTTTTAATCCCGTAGCCGTCAGTTTACTAACACAAGCGTACCTAGACACCTAAGGGGGAGTAATACCAATTTCATCGGGGTGATTTCTCCCAACAAACCCCATTCACCCCACTGCGTGAGTGGGAGACTCGGGGAGATGTCTGGATGTACTCCATCCATCCATGTCAATAATTGATAATATTAACTAATGTTTTCTTCCTAACATAAAAATAAGAACTGGTCTAAAGCATAGAATTTAATTTAATAATAATATGCAATTAATGGTTTACATGGGAACTATTAATTGTTTTTTACATTGTAATATCAATAAATGAGTACGTGGTAATCTACAATGGACTCCATAAAAAAAGTCGAAAAAAGAAGAAATATGAATGAAGTATTAGATATATTAAAACTAAAATAAAACCAAAATGACATATTTACTTCGTCTAAAACAAGATTGGCTAATTTATAGAATGGTTAACACTTCCATACTCAACACCGACCTTATACACACCCCTATAAACACATAGCACTCACGCACACTTAAAAAAATTACGTCTACGCCTCTAACAGGTACAATTTCACGCATGCGCCAGAAGTTGTCTCAGATCCGAGCCCCGGCGTCACGGCAGTCGTAGTTCACTCCGCTGCATGGTCGGTTCGTTCTTGGTTTATTCGTTTAGCAGCGACGAGCGCGAAGTAAAGTTGACTATAACGTGTTCCGTGGTGTAAAGACACTTACATCAAAAATGTCTGACTCAAAAAACTGCAGTAGTGGAGACGAGAGAAGCAATAGTAACGCCAACAGCAGCTCGCAAAGCTCAGACAGAGCGCGCAGCGACCGAAGCCCATGCGAACATCTCGGTCACCTAAGCTCGCACTGCCCGCACGGCCCATTCGTTCCCCGGACCCCACACAGCCTGTTCGGCCCGGCCGGTGGCGGAAGCCAACAGAAACCATGCGGAGCCCCCGGTGACGCAAACCCAAACAGCCCACATAGATCTCCTGGTCACCAAAGTCCACAAAGCCTGCTCAGTTCGCCTAGCTACCAAAGCCCGCAGAGCTCACGTGAAGCACCTGGTCATCTAACTTCACACAGGCGACGCGAACCGCCTGCTCACCGATACCCACACAGTTCGGACGGCCAATTCAGTCACCAAAGTTCACAAAGACCAGCCGGCCTGCCTAGCCACCAAAGCCCACAGAGCCCAAGCGACGCACCCGGTCATCTAACCCCACACAGCCCACGCGAACCGCCTTGTGTCCGATATCCACACAGTTCGCCTGGCCAATTCAGCCACCAAAGTCCACAAAGGCTGCTCGGCCCGCCTAGCCACCAAAGCCCACAGAGCCCAAGCGACGCACCCGGTCATCTAACCTCACACAGCCCACGCGAACCGCCTTGTGTCCGATATCCACACAGTTCGCCTGGCCAATTCAGCCACCAAAGTCCAAAGGCTGCTCGGCCCGCCTAGCCACCAAAGCCCACAGAGCCCAAGCGACGCACCCGGTCATCTAACCTCACACAGCCCACGCGAACCGCCTTGTGTCCGATATCCACACAGTTCGCCTGGCCAATTGAGCCACCAAAGTCCACAAAGGCCGCTCGGACCGCCTAGCCACCAAAGCCCACAGAGCCCAAGCGACGCACCCGGTCATCTAACCTCACACAGCCCACGCGAACCGCCTTGTGTCCGATATCCACACAGTTCGCCTGGCCAATTGAGCCACCAAAGTCCACAAAGGCCGCTCGGACCGCCTAGCCACCAAAGCCCACAGAGCCCAAGCGACGCACCCGGTCATCTAACCTCACAGCCCACGCGAACCGCCTTGTGTCCGATATCCACACAGTTCGCCTGGCCAATTCAGCCACCAAAGTCCACAAAGGCCGCTCGGCCCGCCTAGCCACCAAAGCCCACAGAGCCCAAGCGACGCACCCGGGCATCTAACCTCACACAGCCCACGCGAACCGCCTTGTGTCCGATATCCACACAGTTCGCCTGGCCAATTCAGCCACCAAAGTCCACAAAGGCCGCTCGGCCCGCCTAGCCACCAAAGCCCACAGAGCCCAAGCGACGCACCCGGTCATCTAACCTCACACAGCCCACGCGAACCGCCTTGTGTCCGATATCCTCACAGTTCGCCTGGCCAATTCAGCCACCAAAGTCCACAAAGGCCGCTCGGACCGCCTAGCCACCAAAGCCCACAGAGCCCAAGCGACGCACCCGGTCATCTAACCTCACACAGCCCACGCGAACGGCCTGCTCACGATATCCACACAGTTCGCCTGGCCAATTCAGCCACCAAAGTCCACAAAGGCCGCTCGGCCCGCCTAGCCACCAAAGCCCACAGAGCCCAAGCGACGCACCCGGTCATCTAACCTCACACAGCCCACGCGAACGGCCTGCTCACCGATATCCACACAGTTCGCCTGGCCAATTCAGCCACCAAAGTCCACAAAGGCCGCTCGGCCCGCCTAGCCACCAAAGCCCACAGAGCCCAAGCGACGCACCCGGTCATCTAACCTCACACAGCCCACGCGAACGGCCTGCTCACCGATATCCACACAGTTTGCCTGGCCAATTCAGTCATAAAAGTCCGCAGATCCCACGCGAAGTACCCAGTCATCTAACCCCGCACAGCTCGCTCGGCACGGCTAGCCACCAAAGCTCACAGATCCCACGCGAAGCATCCAGTCATCTAACCCCGCACAGCTCGCTCGGCCCGACTAGCCACCAAAGCTCACAGATCCCACGCGAAGCATTCAGTCATCTAACCCCGCACAGCTCGCTCGGCCCGGCTAGCCACCAAAGCTCACAGATCCCACGCGAAGCATCCAGTCATCTAACCCCGCACAGCTCGCTCGACCCGGCTAGCCACAAAAGCTCACAGATCCCACGCGAAGCATCCAGTCATCTAACCCCGCACAGCTCGCTCGGCCCGGCTAGCCACAAAAGCTCTCAGATCCCACGCGAAGCATCCAGTCATCTAACCCCGCACAGCTCGCTCGGCAAGGCTAGCCACCAAAGCCCACAGATCCCACGCGAAGCATCCAGTCATCTAACCCCGCACAGCTCGCTCGGCCCGGCTAGCCACAAAAGCCCACAGATCCCACGCGAAGCATCCAGACATCTAACCCCGCACAGCTCGCTCGGCCCGGCTAGCCACCAAAGCTCACAGATCCCACGCGAAGCATCCAGTCATCTAACCCCGCACAGCTCGCTCGGCCCGGCTAGCCACCAAAGCTCACAGATCCCACGCGAAGCATCCAGTCATCTAACCCCGCACAGCTCGCTCGGCCCGGCTAGCCACAAAAGCTCACAGATCCCACGCGAAGCATCCAGTCATCTAACCCCGCACAGCTCGCTCGGCAAGGCTAGCCACCAAAGCCCACAGATCCCACGCGAAGCATCCAGTCATCTAACCCCGCACAGCTCGCTCGGCCCGGCTAGCCACAAAAGCCCACAGATCCCACGCGAAGCATCCAGTCATCTAACCCCGCACAGCTCGCTCGGCCCGGCTAGCCACAAAAGCCCACAGATCCCACGCGAAGCATCCAGTCATCTAACCCCGCACAGCTCGCTCGGCCCGGCTAGCCACCAAAGCTCACAGATCCCACGCGATGCATCCAGTCATCTAACCCCGCACAGCTCGCTCGCCCGGCTAGCCACAAAAGCCCACAGATCCCACGCGAAGCATCCAGTCATCTAACCCGCACAGCTCGCTCGGCCCGGCTAGCCACCAAAGCTCACAGATCCCACGCGAAGCATCCAGTCATCTAACCCCGCACAGCTCGCTCGGCCCGGCTAGCCACCAAAGCTCACAGATCCCACGCGATGCATCCAGTCATCTAACCCCGCACAGCTCGCTCGGCCCGGCTAGCCACCAAAGCTCACAGATCCCACGCGATGCATCCAGTCATCTAACCCCGCACAGCTCGCTCGGCCCGGCTAGCCACAAAAGCCCACAGATCCCACGCGAAGCATCCAGTCATCTAACCCCGCACAGCTCGCTCGGCCCGGCTAGCCACCAAAGCTCACAGATCCCACGCGAAGCATCCAGTCATCTAACCCCGCACAGCTCGCTCGGCCCGGCTAGCCACCAAAGCTCACAGATCCCACGCGAAGCATCCAGTCATCTAACCCCGCACAGCTCGCTCGGCCCGGCTAGCCACCAAAGCCCACAGATCCCACGCGAAGTACCCAGTCATCTAACCCCGCACAGCTCGCTCGGCCCGGCTAGCCACCAAAGCTCACAGATCCCACGCGAAGCATCCAGTCATCTAACCCCGCACAGCTCGCTCGGCCCGGCTAGCCACAAAAGCTCACAGATCCCACGCGATGCATCCAGTCATCTAACCCCGCACAGCTCGCTCGGCCCGGCTAGCCACCAAAGCCCACAGATCCCACGCGAAGCACCCAGTATCGTTCACCGGCCAGCCCACCTTGTCTGCACAAATCGAATACTGAGACCGGCACGACTAGTTCTCCCAGTTCAAAGGTCCAGCCCAGTCAGTGAAAGTGGTCCGCCCAGTTGTGTGCTAGGTGGCGGCGGCTCGACCAGTCAGAGTAAATCGCAAAGCTCTCCCAGCCCAATTAGTATTTCCAGCGCAGACAGCCCGCATTGTCAGCGCAAATCGCACAGCCAGGCAAGCACACCCAGCCCGCCCAACCCAATTCTTCCGCCTAGCACACCCATCACTCCCAGCCAAATCCGTCCGCCCAGCGCACCCTGCCCGCCCAGTCAACGAGGATCAACTAGCCCGACCAGTGCAACCCGTCCGACCACGGGAGTTAGTCCGCCCTGTCAGCACATATCGGATGGCTCGACCAGCGCAACCTGTCCGCCCAGCATACAGGGCCAGCCCAGTCAGAGTAAATTGAATAGCCTTCCCAACGTAGTTTGTCCGCCAAGCACATACGGCCCACCCTGTCAAAGTAAATCGCAAAGTCCACCCAGCCCAATCAGCATTTCCAGCACACCCAGCCCGTCCAGCGCAACTTGTCCCCCCAGCGCAGCCTGCCCGCCCAAGCAACGTGAATCAAATAGCCCGACCAGTCAGCACAAATCGGATGGCTTGACCAGCGCAACCTGTCCGCCCAATATGCACGGCCAGCCCAGTCAGAGTAAATTGAGCAGTCCACTCAGCTTGGCTTGTCCGCCTGCCACAGCAAGGCCGCCCAGCACACCAAGATCACCCAGTCAGAGTAAATCGAACAGCCCGCCCGGTCAGCGCGAACCAAAGAGCCCGGCGAGCACACACAGCCCGGCCAGCACAAACAGCCCGCCCAGCATACACAGTCCGTCCAGCACACGCAGCCCGTCCAGCACACGCAGCCCGTCCAGCACACGCAGCCCGCCCGGTGAGCGTGAATCGAACAGCCCGATCAGACCAGACAGCGAAGGTAGCAGCCAGTGCCGGCAAAGTCAGTGCAGGTCTAGCAGCAGCAACATTTCCTGTAGCCCTAGCAGTCCCAGGAGTTCCAGCAATACCAGCAGCCCTAGTAGAGCTATCGACTCCGCTCAGCCTAATAGCAGCGCCAGCCAAAGTAGACAGACTGAGCAAACCCCTAAAAGGTTTCATAGATATATTACCACCAGTATAATAAAAAAGGTCACAAAAAAGACCACCAAACATTCCAGGACACGAATAATACGAAAAACGACAAAAAGAACGATAAAAATACACTTCAGACAAAACAGACCACGCACCATACCAAGCACTAAACAGATTAAGCACCGCAGCAGCGGGGACAAAAGTCGTAACAGTAAGTACTTTTATAGTCTTTAAAAAAGTCAAAGTTAACTTAATATAACTTTTTTGTATCAATATTTAATAATCGATTCTATTATGTATGATGGAATTTAAATCAGTAGAATAGACCTGAAGTGATAAAATAGCACGGAATAAGTCGCTATTAAAATCTACAGAAATATCTCTAGCAAGTTTCAGTTGAAGGAATTGATGGAGATCATAGTAATGCTTATACACATACCACTTTTCAGTTAGTCATTTTAGTTACTTACTACTTTTAAATTACTACACAAAGACTTTTCTCCTGTGATAACAAATGTACTACATATTGACTTAGGCATTCACACACTCAAAGAATTGATCCGTGCGGGAATCGAACTCGCGAGACGATGCACAGCAGCCGGCTGCCGTTGCGGCATGCAGTTTGAACATCAAAAGAAGTCAGTGAATATTATAAATTTCAATAAACCCATCTCCAGTATGCAACTGCAAATGAAGCAATATAAACGCGATATGTGTTATAACCTCGTGAATGTCAGTGTGAGTTACAAAAATATTAGCGAATTGCCAATGCTTGCGCAAATGCGAAAGTCATTTTTAGCATTTTACATGTACATCATACAGGTAAAAATCTTCTAGTAACTTTGTAGCTCAAGTACAACACGCTTAATTGACATTATATTAATTTGTTTTATACATCAAATATTTTTATTTAACATA